TTGATTTGCCATCACATTCGCACCGGCAGTTTGCTATTGGGGATAACGAAAAAAATAAGGCGATTGTCATATTTTCTTCATCTTTATCCCGAAGTGGTAAACCTCTTGTGCGAATGTGATGTCAAGTCTAAAACGCTTGAATAAATTACCAAGTAAAAGGGCTTTCAGTGCAGCTAAAAAATGGACGGTTAGAAGTACTGGAGTTGGTGGCTTTATTTCTCCTCAAAACGGAAACCTACGACTCTAAAAACTCTTGAGAGTTTTTCGTAGATGCTATATTTTGCCTTGTTAAGATAGGTTTCGAAAAGAAAGGGACAAATACGAAGTAAGTTCTGATGAATGGAAGTTCTTTAATCTTGCCCCGCATTCAACATAAAGTTGTTCTTCTTGTATTGCAAACTGCATTCGCCGCAGGTTTCTGATTACTCAGTTTCTTGCAACTGACGCTTTGGGCAAGAATACCCTTTCAGATAGGAAATGGTCTATCGGCAGTTGTGCGTCAACTTTCACAAAATGTGCTAGCGTTGCATTTTAAATTTGACCAGCTATTTGTGCAGCAAGTTCTACGGTCACGGTTGACTTCAAACTTGCAGATATAAAACTAGAGAGCTCTGAGGCGTATTTACTGAAGTTAGAGAAAAATCTACCTTACGGTTTCAAAATTATTGACATTTTTTGTAAAAATGCAGCTTTAAACATATGCCGATATCTCAAACCTTTTTATGCCCACAAGAAGATAAATAACATTATAACATTTTCTTACAGTTCGACCATTCTTTATTAAGGATGCAAAAATCATAGAAATCGGTTAAATCTTTCATGCCGAAAAACGCGCTTCAAATATATAACCAATGCGCATATAAACAGGTTCGGGCCACCTTAAGCACATTTTTAGAAACTAGGCTAGTATTATGCAAGGCAGCTCTACCGTCAAGGCAATCACATGATAAAAATTTTGGCCAAACGCCGTATGAGGCGTTTATAAAGGAACATTGCAGATGCAATCAATTCAAACCAGTCTGTCGGTTTCATTTGCGTAAGCCCCACCCACTTGGAGGTACTGGAAAAAAAATCACATCACTCAGTACGAAAAAGCTTTACCTTCTGGTGTGCCTAATATTACTAGATCATTGAGGTCTGTTAGTAATGAACTCTTAATGCAACCTGGATCGTATACCAAGACCTACGGAGATAGAGCATTAGCTGTTCATGCACCAAGAGAATGGAACTTAATACCCTATGAAATTCGGAAGTCCAACACCATCTCGAGGTTTAAAAGATCACTTAAGACGTACTTGTTTACTAAATTCAGTAATAACGGATCATTGTTTTTATAGATTTGTATATATTGCGTTAGTTTTAATTTTTCCCTTTTTTTATTATTATGAATAAAATGGTTTAATAGTTGCTTTAGTTTTAATTTTTTCCTTTTTTACTCATTGTAAATATAATAGGATATGGTTGTAAATTTGTAAATATTTTTCAATAATGTTGTTTACATGACTGTAAAGCGCCTTGAACATAGGATAAGAGCGCTATAAAAATAAAGTTACTATTATTAGTTATTATTATTATTATATTGATTTTCCCTTTTTTCCTAGGCGTGGGTCCACACTCCGTTGCTTTCAGAGTCTAACCCTAGTAGGACAGTTGCTAAAACGAGACAATGGTAATTAATAATTCAGGTTCTGAAAACTTTTCCACTCAAGGAGTGCAACGTGGTTCTTCGAATCAGGAAATATCTTTCGAAATCAGGGTGTTCTTGGGCGTTTTCATCTCCGCGTTAAGTATTGTCGGTACCGTGGGCAACACTATCGTTATAACAGTCCTGAGACTGAACAACATATTCACGAGAAAGACTACCGGTTTGATTCTAACGAGCCTTGCAGTAGTAGATCTGCTGTGCAGCACGGTGGAGATTCCGTTGGCCATTTGTACCATGATTGTACATGGTCCTGATGACCACTTATACAATCTGTCTTTGACACAGCAAGCCCTTGGTCCATGTGTCTTTTGGGGATATACCACCTCATTCTTTCTCCTTAGCATCGATAGAAATGACGCATTGAGAAAAATTTCTTACAGACAGCAAGTGCTCACGACAAAACGAATTTTAGTTGCTATCATCATAGCAATGGCATTCGGTGTGGGTCTGGCTCTGTTTTTTCTCTTTAGAACGGAAAACCCATATCCGCTTCTTCCACGTCAAACTGCGTCAGTCATGTTAACATCTGTGCGTGGAGGATTATTTTTGTTATTTCTGCTCTCTGTGTTTTCAAACATTTATTACTTCGTACAAATCAAGAAACTGCTTAGGGAACATTCTGAGATTACAGCTGATACATTTTCACAACAACGAAGGAATCGATGGAGGACGAGGGAAAGAAATCTGTCTTGGAGGATAATTCAAGTTATCTTGGTAGTCTCTTTTTCGTATGTACCCTATACCATTGCTTCAATAATCTACAACAATGCTGAAATACATTCCCTGAACGCCATTGCCTTATGTCGCTCATTAACATATCTCAAATGTGCAGCTAATGTATTTATTTTCACAAAGCTCGATCGACGTTTCATAATGGTCTTTTTTGATAAACTTCGAGGTAAGCCCTCTTTTAACACAGTCCATATACAGCCCTTAAGCCAACGAGTCAGTGAAGCCATAACCCGGAAGAATAATCTTGTTGAACACACATGTAGTAAAAACAGACCACAATGTGAGAAAATGATTGTTAATAGAGCCATGAAGAGATCGTCGGATCAAAGACTTGAGCGACACATACAGGACGAAAGGACCAAAAGACTTGTAAAAGCCAAAGAGTCCTTACCAGTTATAACAATAACATCTCCCTCTGGCAAAACCACCATTATAAAGGGAAAAACTTGCCCTCATGTAAGAACGATTAGTTATCGACGAAACAAGAACAAATCGTCTGTCCGCGGTCGATCCAAAACAGTGTAGGAGTAATTAACTAAATGACCAGGGGCAACGCCACGGTCAATGGTCTTATGGGCGGCCAGCTATGTGTCAAGGCGCGTAAGACACCGACTGCAACTGTAATATTCACAGGGACTGTCGTTATAGATAATTGGATTGTGTTAAATATAGGCTTTAAGAAAAACATCATTTCTCTATATTACGATGCAAGAGTAAGGTGTGCATAGGTTGTCTTTCATCTTACGTTGCCTTACTGATGAAGCTGAATAATCCCACTGCATAGTGATGGTGATTTAACGCATACTGCCGAACTTTCTCAGTAAATGTGATTAAGCGCTTTCTGTCATAATTGCCTGTTAAATAGCAAAATAGGCAACGTTGGAGAGAATTCCACCGTCTACAGTATCCAAAAAGCATTAACTCCACGACTGTAACCATAAGGTGGTATTTCTAGACCATTTCAATATCCTATAATTTGTGTTGCTCTCTTTTTTTAAGTAACGAACTAAGTTATCGCTTTTACGTTTGCTACAATTGTTATTGAACTTAAGCAATTTATATTTATTCCACACCTTTGGAGCTCTTTGGTTAGCCAGTATACAGACTGCTAGTTCGCTGAGCTGTGTTACTGACATTGATGCGGCCAACGTCAGAAGTCGTGCTTTCCCGGTTTGAGTAAGTGAATAGTGACCTTTCTGTTTTAAGCAATCTAATTGGTTCACTAGCTCGGGATATCTATTTTATATGTATGTTGAAACAGGCTAGAAATGAGGTGAAGAATTATGTAGATCGAGGAGAATGTCATCCACCGAAGCTGAACAGCCTCCGAAATCAGCATTATTCGTCGCATCATACAAAAGCCAAATTCGAAAATTTTTTTGTTATTTATTCAGGATATTTCTTAAATGTTTTAAAACAAGCTTATCTCCTCGTACACTTTATGTAGAACTTTGGCCTCATTCTTGGCACGGTTTCAGGATATATACTCGCAGATACAAGTACTGTTCAAAACTAAGTAGATAACAATAGATCACGCAAGCAATATCCTTTGCGTTTTCTTGTATTTCGTCGGTTCAGTTTTAGTCAGAAATTCAGCAATTTTGTCTTTGGATACCCCTGAACGCCACATCAACACAGTCAAGAGTCAGGAATCGGTATAGATGATTATTTCACAGTACATTCTGTCGACACGGAAGTGACGAACAAAGTTGAACTTTAACTTTTTCCAGTGACCTTACCATTTGCCCATGCCCTACTACAGGAAATCCGAAATTCAATCTCTCAGCTAAATGACCATGCATCCATGCAACCACGCCTTTTCCGTACAAAAAAACAGTCAAGGAGTTTAGACCGCGCTATTCAAATTTTCCATCTTGCAAGCTAAACTTTGTTTTGTTGAACGACAAGGAGCCTAAATGTTCGTTCGGTTAAAGTAGTTCCGTGTGAACCGAAAACCTTACCGCACGAGTTTTCAACAGGATGAAGATTTGTCCAGTACCGTGTGACACAACGTAGCCTATCACATCCTAACATTACAGAAATGACCTTATGAAGTCAAAATAAACTTTAGTTCGAAGAATGTTAGATGTATAATTTTTGCCAAGATACAGAATATAATAAATTCTAATTCCCTCAATCTAAAAAGCGTTAACAAAGACGAACAATGGCCCACAATCTTTACCCTAAAAAAAAATTACTGATTTTACCAAATAGAAAACACAACCTTAATATTAGCAACATTAAAAGATTAACCATATATTTACAAGTCAATTGCGACGTTTTGCAACAACCATATGAAAGACTCTCAACGTCCTAACATCCCTCCAAATGTTTAACTGACACTGAAGGAGTACACATTGTACCTGCAAAATAGTTACCAGGCGAGGCCAAGAGGAGGTTTTCTCACTTTCGCTTGATGGCCCGTATCTTGTATGGAACAGGAAACTGGGTAAGATTAAAAATTCCCTTCAACTTTGGGGGACGACCATCTTCTTCAGCAACAAAAGTAAACTTCTGAAACAACCACGACAGGAACAAAAACAGCTCAACCTTCGCCAGAGGTTCACCAGCACAAACCCGGCGTCCAGCTCCAAAAGGAAAAAAAAATACCTTGGTTGGTAATCAACTTCCCGTCTTCGTCAATGTGGCGGTAAGGGTTAAACACAGTGGGATCGTCCCAGCATTTGGGATCTAAATGAACGGATTCTGTATCAACAAAGACCATGGTATTTTTAGGAACTCTGTATCCACAGAGAGTTGTATCTGTGACCGTAACGTGAGGAATTGCAAGAGGCACCACGTTTCCAACTCGCAGGGTTTCAATAATGGTTGCTTGGATGAGAGGCAGACGTGATCGGTCGTTTAAAGAAGGAGCCTGGTCACCAATTACTTCATCTAACTGGCGGTGAATAGCTTCTTGGTACTTTGGGTAGTTAACCAAGAATGCTAGAACCCATTTCATGGTCGTGCTTGTAGTTTCATAGCCTCCTGCGAACATATCTTCAATCGTGTTGATGAAGTAGTCGTCAGTAAGGAGGGCGGATCTATCTTCATTGCTCTCACTTTCAGCTTCAAGTTTGGCATGAAGGAGACCTGTGATCAAATCTTTTACTGGTCGCTCTGGATCAAAAGTCTTTTTGCGTTCACTCAGAAATTTGCGGATTATATCAAAAATTTCAAAACTGGGCCTGAGAAAGCGTTCATAAACCTTGAGTGGTAAGTACTGTGCCACTGGGAAGAAATCTAAAGCTAAGGCCAACTGAGTATCAGCAGCATTAGCTATCGATTCTATGTTTAGTTTCAAAAGCTTGTTCAAATCCGGATTGGTTGTGTCATAACCTTCTCCAAAGGTAATGCCACAAATGACATCAGCCACAGCACGCATCAAACAATCTGCAGGATCAAAGGGTTGTCCTTGTTTTTCTTCCATGAACAGAACCAATTTTTCGGTTTGAGTACGAACGCGTCTTTCAATCAGAGGGATGTCCGAGAGGTACTGGCGAAGAGCTGTCGTAAATAGCTTACGATGGAGCTTCCAGCCAGGACCAGGGCTACCAAGAACAATATCTTTACCCCCTGAAATTCAGAAAGGGGTAAAATTTGATAGCTTTTCGATAGCAAATTGAACAAAGGATTCCTTTGGTC